TATGCACTGTGGTGTATCTTCTTTCTCATCATTGTAATTCTTGATGCTATTTAAAAATGGCCCTCCTTTTTATAAAGGGAAGATAGGTTCTCTTTTGGTAAGTAGTGATATTCAGTTAGGTAACAAAATAAGTTACCAAATCTGTCCAATGTGGACTAAGACTGAGGTTGGGAAACTATCTTTGGTCTGCCAGTCAAATCCGGCCCACCTTCTGCTTTGCTTTGGTCCACGAGCTAGGAGTCGTGTTTACATCTACAAGAGGTTGAAGAAAATCCAAAGACTATATCATGGCACGTAAGAATTACATGAAATTCAAATTTCAGTGTCCATAAATAAAGTTTTATGGGAACATAGCCATGCTCATTCATTTACATATTGTCGATGGCTGCTCTCATGCTACAAAGGCAGAGGTCACAGCTGTGACAGAGACCATATGTGGCATTCTTATTGCTCCACACTGCTGTTCAACACACTACAAATCTCAAAGATGCAGTCGTAATTCAACAGCATTGCCAGTGCCACACATATTGTCACATAGACATCTATTTTTTTATTACTAATGCCTACTAATCATGTAAAAAAAAAGTAGAGTGAACTTTAAGTGTAGCACTTTTAAGGCACAGTGGAATGTGGACTATCTGTTACACAATTATATGGCAAAGCATCGTGTTTATTAGGTGATGACGCTGTAGCTATGCGAAAAGAATACAATTTATGGTGACATTACCAGAAGGGGCACTCATCACAGTATCCCCCGGGCTCACAGAAGAGCAACAGCTAGAAAAGTGAGAAAACTTAAAACAGAGTAGCTCATCAGAGAAGAATTGTTTCACAGACACAAAGAAATGAGAACAAGGGTGCAACAAAGTGAAGTCACTTCCCAAACGGCTCACTGTTAGCCACATAGAGCTGTTTACTCATGGTGGGTTAAACTTAACTGTTTGCCTACAGCAGCCGGGAAGTATGTCCAGAGAAAATAAATTTGCTCAACACTAGCTTGCTAGCAAGGACAGGCACTTGGAAGACTCGAAGATATACCGACAGTCAACCAAAAACCAAGGCCAATGATTTCAGGTAGTTTCCCTTAGCCTTGGAGGAGTCAACAGACATTATCAATACTGCCCAGTTTTTGTTTACTAGAGAAGTCAAAGCTGAGCATGAAGTGACTCAAGAATTAGCTTTTATGAATAGCCTCCGTGGAGCAACTGTATCAAAGAATATTTTTAAGGAACTTAGGAAAACACCGATTCGGTGCAAGATGAAATGGAATCTGCTAAGATGTGTGGCCACAAATGCAGGGTGGTAAAAACGTGTGGGGTGGAAGAAGGTATCCTGCACACATTTACAAAGCTCGCAAAACTGTAAAACGTTTAAAGCCCATGTATATGTACGTTACTTGTTAGCAGGTATTTTGTGGAAAATATGTGCATTTGTCATGTAACTGGAACTAGTCAAGGGTGAGTTCACCCTTGTGGTCTCAGCCATCATCACTTCCATTAAGTTCTGCCAGAAATACACACAGAGTGTCCAGACTTGCCCAGGTATGGAGCACTTTGATGGCAGTGGTAAAGTTCTGTGGTGATGTTTCCAGCTCAGGACCAGGACCAAATTTTCTGAGCGAGCATCACCTTTGCCTCTTAGAAACGAATGCTGAATTTTGCTTGTGCGGCAGATGTGATGTTTCCTAATGAACTCAACTTAAAATCACAAGGCAGAACAGCGCTTCTACGTGACACTAACACTGCACGCTGCCGAGTCAATATGGTGGCGGCTAACGTGTAAATCACAAGTGATGTCAAGCTGCTCTGCACAACTTCCCGTGCCATCAAGTTCAAATGGAGCAAAAGGTCCATCCCCACACAAATTTGCAGTGGATCTATTTTCCAAACTCAGCTATAGTTCCAGCTGGACTTTTCGATCTCTGCACAAGTTCAAAGGATATTTCCATCTTCAAAATCCATTTAACCGTAGCACTGAGGAACATTTACTTAGCCTTCAACAGGAAGGGATTATACGGGCAATGAAATGATATACCAAAAGGTGAATGTCAAGAGTGGAATTCTACAAACCTCTTCCAAATGATAAATCTGCTCAATTAAAATCATACATGTGAGGATTGATAACAGTATCTGATGCTATCTACCTACGTAGAGACATTTTCAAAGAGGAAATAGATAAAATCACATTATGAATTGGTGTAAGAGATGAACGTTTACCATTGATTTCAAACACCAATTGAGTGAAAAAGTATCCCCTTGAAATAATCCAACTCTTATCATTAGTAGACTTGCATTACAAAAAAAAAAAATTGTACTCAGGTATTAATATATAGTTTGGATTTCATCAATAGAAAAATTAGTGGAAATTCTTTCTAGTTAGAGTATATAAGAGCCTTTTTGGTCTCTGGGCCCACAAAGCCTAAACTTTACCAAAATGTGCCAACCCTCATTCTAGAGCAGTGCGGGGGTGTTTTTACCTTTAAATACAATTGTAATATGGTGAATTTCCCTGTCTTTCTGGCAAAAGTGCTTTTATATCCCAGCAATACTACTTGATAATACTTCTAGACCTAAGTCCTTTCCTTGGTTATGATCCACGGATTCTCAAGAAGTAAATTTCCTACGAAAGAAACATGTGGGACTGCGGGAGACGGAGGCAGAGAAGAAACTAGTTCTCCTGAACGTCTGCAGAGCTTCGTACTTCCACTTGCTTGTACTCTATGTAGCAAAAGCAGTTTTTTGCTCGATTAATCCAGCTCTAGCACAAAAACCTTAAACACAAGACAAAAACAAAAGCACACCAAACATAGAACTTACGGCCTCTGTTTTGACTTGGGTCTAGGACATTGTTCAAGTGTACTCACTCGATGTGATTTCTAGCAACACACTCAGACGAATACAATTCCAGTAATAATATGTTTTTCTAATTTAGAACCATTAGGTCTGCCTGCCAGCCGCATTTTCTTTTTCTCACCAAAATGGTGATGATCTCTGGACCTTGCCTGTGCAGTATCAGAATACTAACTTCTGGTAACGATGCCCTCAATTCCCTTTGGGTGACACCCCCTTGTACCTCACTTCTCAGTCCAAGGGATCCCCTGACGGTGGGAAAACACCCCCGTGGCCCTGGTAATTGGCTCAGGGGCGGGCCTGCGAACCAATCAAGCAGTAAAGGTCAGTCTTGGGATTCTGTTAAAGGCTGAGGACAGCCGCTCTCGGTATTGGCTGAGGTGACCAGGGCAGAGCGAGGCCGCAGCTGCTGGGGCAGGGGGTGGAGCACTTTACTATCACACATGAAAAGTCTCCCTGGCAATGAAAGCAGCAGAGCAGAAGGCAAAACAAAGAGAGACAGAGAGAGACCGATTTGGGACTCTCCACCGGGATCAGGTAGGTCTGAAGACAGCGCTTGCACGGGACTTAAAGTTACGTGGGAGAATGTCCACCCTGCCAAGTAAGCCACGTGCAATTCACAGGGGCTGGCAGAGTCAGCTATGTGATCGCTCGGAACGAACCCCCGTTAAGTCGGATGCTTCTAGGTAAGGCCTTGTGACCACCAGGTCTCTTCTCCAACTCCTTCTTTGGTCTCCGAACGGCAGTGCTCTGTGTGCGCTGCTTTGTCTTATCTCAGCAGTGGCATCTTTCGGTCAGCCCTGCACCGTCAATACCAATCGGGGAGACTCCTTAGAGCACCTGGCACCAGACTGAACTGGGAGACACCGTCACAGATCTAGGCTCTCCATCTGCAATGATAAAGTCATCCACTTAAAACGGACGGATGACGCTTCATGTCCGCAAACACCCTCGTAGGAGTTCGTTTTTAGAGTGAAACGATTCTGTTTCTTGGCCTTGGTTGATTAGCGGCATTAGTTTTAATTATGTGCTCTATCACGTGGCTCCGGGAGGTGTAGAAGGGGTTTGTCTTGGACCTTCATTAAACAGAGCCCAGATACTCCCTGGTATGTACTTCTTACGACGGGGCTCCAACAAAGCAAAATTCTAACAGGAACAGAAACCCCCTAGAGCACAGAGCTGCATCTCACAGAGACCAGACCAAGTGGAAACTGGGAGTTTTTCAACGCCTACCTCATGTCAGGAGGAGCAGCATCACTTTGCCCACGATGAGAGGAAGGGGGGAAAAGCAAGTTTAAAAAAACTACCTTTATTTTTTATTTCTTTTTCAGTTACATACTTTTAAACAGGGATGTGTTTCATTATTCAGACATTCAGGCAATGTTGACTTCATTAGTGTCGACAGAAAAGAAGCATAAAAATGCAAAACATTGTTGGCTTAACCTGAACATACCTGCATCACCTATTATTGACCAGTTTGTGTTACCAGAAGCCTTACTCCTTGGCATTAAAATGGAGCACTTAAAAATATTGCTAAAAAGCAAATGTCTGCACACTGGTCTTTGCAGCAAATAAGGGTATTTATACTTTTAAAATATTTTAAGTCCATAATTGGATTAATATACACACCTTCTTATGTATAAGGAGTTCAGATCATATAAACACTGTACAGTCCAAAAACCCTACTGAGAATAAAACTAAATAGGCTTATGATAAGAAATACAGATATCGCATGTATTTACAAATATCATAGACACACGAATTTGGTCAAATACTGTAAAGAAAGAAGTGGTTTCACATTATTACGGCCAAAACATCCATCTGCATTGCTCAGGGCAAACAAAAAGAAAACCTCAGTATGCGACTCCTGTCATTTAAGACATCGTGACGGTATACAGACAGACAGAATGGGAAGGGCTGACCAAATTATACAGCAAATGTCTTCGAGGCTGAGCGTGGGCCTCTCAGATCAAGAACTTGAAATGATCAGAGGATTCAGAGCAACGATGATAAACAATGTCCTGATCTGCAGTATTGGTATGGGCGCCTAATTCAACAAAAAAAAAACGATACACCGAACTTTGGGCTACGAAGAAAAATAAATTACAAATACAATCAAATCCCTGTGAATGCAACAACGGAAGTCAGAAATGTAATTTATTCACTTTAATTACGCAGTTTAAATGATACCTTGAGACAATAAAAATAAATAAGCACGCCGGAAGGCATGCTGCTTACAGACAAAGGAAAGGGCTGCGTGGAAAGGGTAAGTAACAATGCCATCAATGGAAGGCGAGTGTGAGGATCTGAAACACATAATTCTCTCTCTAGCCAGTCTTTCTCTTTTAACTCTGCTCGAAAATTCTGGCTGGCAGACTGGGACCAAATACACTTGTGATCTTTATGGCTTCACACAAAGCACACGTAAAACAGTGGAATGGACTTCCTGTGTGTACAGAACTATTACTCTGTTCATATGCAGGCACTTCAACAGACTGGAGGCAAAGCACCTGACCCATCCTTTCCAAAATAATTTTCCGTCATCAAAATTATACTAAAAGGTAGGAAAATTCCAGAGAACCAGCAAAGTTGAATACAAGAGGCTAATGTGCACAGAGGGCAACAGAGTGACCCAGTCTTTATTGCTGGGGGTGGAGGGGTCTTTTTTTTTTTTTTTAAATCAAAGAGCAAATGATTAATCACCAGACACCACTGCATGGCACATCGACGTTTTCTGCTTAAGGGAGAGTGTGATCATTCAGCAGTAGGCTTCAGGGGGCTCTCTCCTCAGACTTCGACCTTATACATCGCGATGGGATTCACATTTGTTTCTTCTCCTTAGTGTATTTAAAAATCAAAAAACAAAACAAAAAAAAAAACCAACATATTTCATTTCTCAGAGTATTCATTTCTTGCTGTCTAACATACAGTATTACCTGGAAGCATAAAGTTACATCATACAAATATTTTGCTTTTTTTTCCCCCTAAGAAAAGCGCTTTTGCCACTTCAGCAACACTGAGCTTCACGAACTGGTGCGACAGAAGCGGAGCTTGTATTCGCCGCATGACCCGCGGTTCTGTTCTAGTGCCGCCCTCGGCCGCGCCCCGAGAGCTTCTTCCTCGGTACCTCTGGGCAGTGACTGTACCACGATTTCACAGAGAGAACGTGAACATGACTCACGGACAGCAGTACCATCGGGAGCACTGAAATCGATGCAGATGTCACACAAGAAATGAACGGCTCGTAAAGTAACTTCTTTTACGCGCTGAGGCAACGGGGCCTTCTCTGCCGCATTATCCACTGGGGGGGGGGCTTCCTGTTTGCTTATGCTCTTACAGAAAGTCATCAAAAACCACATCAGGTATATAACTGGCTGACACGGAAGATGCTATGCTGCTTTCTACAACAGGAGGGGAGCTTCTGAAAACATGTCCTTGGGATGCCAGGCATCGACACCACCTCACTGGTCCGCTCCGTTCACTGACGGGCAAAGCACTCGGGTGCTGACAAAACTTTAAAGCTTCCGTGAAAGTTAAATTAGAAAACAAAACAAAACAAAACAAAACAAAACCATATGAATGTAAGACAACCACAAAATGAAGTATGAGAGTATGACATTTTTGTTTCTAGGAGTGAGTCCTCGGAAACGCACGTGGTCACTACGGAGATGATTTTCATCACAAGACGGCGGACGAGCGCATAAGTAACTCCCCGTGATCTGTCTGTGTCCAGAGTCATTTGTGACGCTGTATGGTTTTCCTTTTCCTTCGTTTGAAGAAACAGCAGCACCTGCGGGTGGAGGGAAACGCTTCTTTTATTACAAGAGTACTGAAAGGGCCTCGGGAAGGATGACGTTAGCCTATTAATTTCAGTGGTCACAGAAAGCAACAGGCTAATGCAAGATACACGGTGAACATGCCAAGGAAGCAAACAGATTAGTGAGCCTACGGCAGAGTTATTGCTGCTGTGTCATCAACGTGCCTTTAAGGAGGAGGGCAAGGCATCTGTGCGACGTTAAAAGGAGCCACTCAGCTGAAAAGGCTTTGCACCCAGATGGGCTGAGAAGCTGCGGAATGCTGAATCCTCACTGACCCGCTGTATCCTGAACACTCATGAGCCTCTGGCAGCGGCAGGCTTTTATGAAACTCACCATACCCATCCTCTCCCTTTCTTCCTGATACTTACATCTGATTGTTAAGGCCAGGAAGAAAGCGAGGAGACGCGTAAGGTGAACTGGAATTAGAGTTAGGAGGAGAGAAGCAATGATGGTGAGGGGCACTGAGGAGGGCACTTGGGATGAGCACTGGGTGTCGTGTGGAAGATATGAACCACAGGAACTTACCCCCAAACCAAGAGCACACTGTACACACTGTACGTTAGCCAATTTAACAACAGATTATATTTAAAAAATTATGAATAAATAGGTGAAAAGAAAAGCAACAATGATCCTAATAGTGAGGATTTTATTCGCAGCAAGAATTCGTTTAGTTTCCAAAAGTTAAGAGGAATCCCAAGCACACTCTTCAATAAACATTTTCCACCAACTTACAAACCAGAAGAGAGAAAAGAACATGAACCAGAATGTCAAGTATGGCCGCCTTTCATTCTGCACAGGTTACGGTCAAGCTTTTCGTAAGTAAATTAAGGTAAAAATTATGCGTAACGTTTAAAATAGCAGAATCTAGGGGATTCCGTTTTGTGGTCTATGAGACAACAGCAGACTGGTTTTTATTGCTAGGTGAAAAACGCTAGCGAGGACCCCTGAGAGGCCTCGTTTCCCCGCAGGAAGTTCTCCTAGTCCGGAGAAGACAGCACACGTAACCCTGGAGAACCATGCCGAGGCTGGTACAAAGTCAAAGCTAAATGGAAAGCACTGAGTAGCAGCTCACAAGGACAACGAAAACAACAACAAATACATGCAGATGCATATTCTAAAAGCCTGGCACCCCCTCAAATAAAGGTCTAATTCTTTTCCTCATGCACAGGTAACCCAAAGTACATCTATCAGAACACCAAGGGGCTGGGCAACACAGACGGAGACTTCCTTTTTTCCACGGAAGTCCGATGTGGGTACGTATAAAAATAGGTCAATCCTGTTTTGTAATTAAAGAAATATTTATATGCATGGTGATTCAATGAACAAAATACTGCCAATTCAAAGCCTGAGCACAATGTGACCTTATAAAGATGTTCCTGTAATTCTCAGCAGCCCAACTGCATAAAAGAATATTCAACGAACGACTTCAAGCTAAGCATAACAGACCATATAACTTCAAGTGGCCTATCCAGCAAAAGACTGTGGAAGATGAAAAAATTACTGGATATCTTTTCTCTCTTTCTGCGAAAGAAATGTAAACAGAAACCCATTCTGTCCAGCTAAATTATATAATCGCTCCACCCACATTATCATTAGTCAAAAATAATTTCAGACCATTTATAGTGACTTATGGCATGACTATGAAATCACTAGGGGGCATTCAAACCCAAATTACACGACTGTGTTTTTTTTTAACCCCACTCAAACAACACATCATGATTAGACTGTGGAGTGTGAATAATTCAAAACTGTATATATCAGTTGATAAAGATTCAACTAGAAATATGTATGGCTATCAATCTTTATGAATTTTCCTCTAAGGTGACTGCCAGAGAAACCAGAGATAAATTACCCAATCAAGGGCCTTGAAAAGAGCCACTTCTGTAAAAGAAGACTCTAGGTACAATAGATTTTTCTTGCATTTATAAAATAAGTCAAATTTATTTGTAACTGTCAGCTACCCAAATACTTTCTCAAGTCTGTTATATACATAAATTTTCTAAAATAAAACAGTGAAATAAAAAGTTATTTAAGTCAAATGGCTAGAGATGAAAATCATGATTCAAAAAAAAAAAACCTTTTAATAAAGGACTTAGGAAAGAGTCAAAAAATGTTCATATTGTTTAAAAAAATTTTTTTAGTTGGTATTGAGAAGAGACCAAATACTCAAAATATTAAATTTAAGAATAGGATCACATTTCAATGGAAATTTATTATTTAATATAAAGTACTACAGATAATGTTCACTGTTCCTAAATACTGACATTTGTCTTTTCAAATTCCAAACTGCAATCTTTTAAAATTTTTTGGCTGAAAAGGTATTCAAAGAAGTGTTTAAAAAAGTGTTTTAAACAAGCCTTTTGGTGCGGGGTATTTAAAGCATTTTCCACACTTGTATTACTAGCAATTCACCTTGTCTGACTTGTTTTTCTAGTAACATTAATCTTCTTTCCAATTCACTAGACAGCAGAGTTCTTCCTATTTCTTAGGTAATCTTTCCTTCAATTATGTATTATTTAACACAGCAAGCCAGCTCAAGCATTTATTTGAGACTAAATAAGATTTTCAAATGAATCATAACAGCAGAGACCTTTTAAATTAAAAAGCAATCTTAAAAAGACATCTATTTTTAAAATGTAAATCCCACAAGAAAAAGAGTACACCCCTGAAACAGACTTGTAGTGAAGCTGGCGTGCTATTTAAAGCACTACCACCAGAGGGCAGCATTGCTGCATGCACTATGAATGCCTCCACATAAAGGCAAGATGCTCTGGAAGTACAATATGGTTGTAAAAGTTGAAAAGAAAACTGCTTTTTACCCTGTGGCTCGTTTCTTAAAACCAAAACAGATGATTTACAGTCTTAGTGATTAAGAAACTGGGTCTCCTATGCATTCCCTTCAATCTAAAACCGTGCTGCTCCCACACAGCCACTCTGTCAACGTGTTTAAGCTCCCCTCAGTCCTCAGAACTCATCTGAATTTATCTTATTTATTTACATATTATCTTACATTGAATGTAAGCTTCGTAAGGGGTTGTCCGTAGAAACACCCCACAAACGGGCACAAAAATGCCACAAAAATCTTTACCAACTAAATGGAAGACTTGCCTCATCATCGCAACTGCTAGTGTAAGAAGCAAGTCAGAAAAGCCTGTTCTAACATTGGAGTTCTTCCCTGGGGCCCACATGCCCTCGCGAAAGCTCACAGAATGCAGACTTTGGTGCCTGTGATGCTTCCCTGGGGAAAAGCGGTTTGTGCCAGACTCTTCAGGGAGACTAATCCCGAGTGGCACCGCTCTGTCTGCGTGCACCTGCCCCCCCCCCACTCCCTGCCCCCCACCCCTCCGCCTCCAGCTTCTCCACCTCCAGGAAGTCCTTGGGCCAGAACCTATGAGCTGAGGACTGGTGATACCAAGTGGCCCGCGTGCCATCCACGTATAACGAGCACAGGCAAATGTGTAAAAAGAGACCATGAGATTTTAACACTTGGTACAGCTGAAAGGGGGAAAAATTTATCGCTAACAGTAACTGTAAATACAGCCAAACGGCAGGAATACTTTGGAATCTTTCCAGATTATGCCTATGTGGTCCCAGCAAGCCAATATGCTCTCTCGGGTCAGGCTCCTGCTTCTGTGATTCCGGACCTAGCCTAAAAGCTTTGAAGCCATGTCTCTACTCTTAAATTCTTGGGAAATGCTGCTTCTGATGAACTTGAGGGTTGTCGCTGTAAAAACTGTTTAGGTAGTAAACAGGAAATCATAGTGGGTCAAAGTCCCTGTCAACTATGAAGAAAGCCTACGGGCCAAGGCACCACTTGTGACATTATACCGCAGTTTCCCCTTTACTCTCTGCCTCTTCTCTTCTTCTCGGATTTGACGGTCTTCCCAGATCCACATCATATACTTCCTTCTCACACAGCTACCCAGAAAATGACACTTGTTTCTCTGTCTGGATCTGAAGTTCCTATCTGTCCTTTCAGCAATAACTCAGTGTCTCCACCTTCAGTTGTGAGACTGGCTTGTACCTCCCAGACCCTACCCACTTAGGACTCTGGAGCCTAGCCTCTCCTTGTCTGGGTTGTTGAGTATATACCTATCTTTAATTCCTTGACAAAGAATTTTCCCCCTCAAAAACCTATAAATGAAATGTACTTTCACATATCTGGATCCCTTATGTAAAATATGCGCAACTGATCGGTTAAGCCAGAAGGGTTTAGACAGAAGCCCAAGTGCGTCCGCGTAACCACTCTAACTGGGAACCACAGATCTAGCCCCATCTTCAACTCCTTCCTCTCCATCCCCATGCTATTGGTCCCTTAAGTCCGAAATGACTTTCAAAGCTGGGTCATCCTCTCGGCCCAGCCTACTTCAGAGCCTGTGGCCTCCACCACTGCTAAGAGCCTCTTAACAGACGTCCAGGCTAAGTCTCCTCCTCTCCCCAGCGCGCCATCCAATCGTGCCTCCTAGAGGTGGCCTCACCCTTTGCCTTCTAAATCTCACCAAAGGCTCTCCACGGTCTAAGACGTTAAGTCCACACGGTTCTTACAATCTGGTTCCAATCTACTTCCACTCTCCTGGTCTCACTCGGCATCAAGCTTCTCGTCCAGGCAGCCCATACTACAGAAGGGAGGGAAGGAGGGAGGATGTACTGATGTGACAGAATCTAATGAGCCCCAGAAAGGACGTAAGCCTCAAAAAGTGCTGCCAAACTAACTGCCTCAAGGCTCAATCTGATTATCCTGTTTCTTGGCTTAAACGCCACAGCTTGCTTCTCTGTCCTGAGACCGGATCATGTCTGTTTCTTCCCTGGCGCTGAGGGTCGCTTGCAAAGGGGCCCTGAGACCAGCTCCCGCCACGGTGCGTTCACACACTCTGTACAGGCCCAGGTTAGTCCTCACGCCTGCTGCATTCTTTCCCGGCTCCCAATGCTGCTCGGCCGCTCACAGCCCATCTCCCGTACCCAAGTCCTGAGCCAAACCTACCAGGGTCGAGAAGCAGGACACAAGTGCCCTTACCCACGAAGAGGTCTCTGATCTCCCAGCCAGCAGCGCACGTTCCCGTCTCTGAAATCCAGCAACACCGTATCCTCTAGGCTAATCCTGGAATACCTTGTATTAGGCCACTGATTCCCAATCCTGCCTGCCCCTGAGAATTAGCTCACAAGCATTTTAACCGTACTGTCAACCAGACCCCCACCACAGACGAGTGAAGTCTCAAACTCTGACAGGGCAGCCTCAGTGCCGGCCTATTCTGCAGACTCCGCAGATGCTGCTGATTCGAAGCCAGGACAGAGGACCACCAAGTGACAGCCACTGGTCACATGCTCTCTGTTCCTAGGGAACACCAGGGCCTTGACTTCTCCTCATAATCATCATATTTCACCAAATACACAGCAATGTTGCGAAAGGGAAAGAAAGAAAAAAAGATGAAAAAAGGCAATGACGTGCTACTTAAAAAGTCAATAATTAAACCAAAGGAAGCCTTGTTTTCCTAAATTCCTGGAAGGAATGGTAAGGTACTATCATTTGTATCACCAGTCTTGAAAAAAAAAAAATTCTCTGCTACAGTGAAGAAGGCAAAAGCTCATTACTAATGAAGGAGCCACTTTATGTGCTGGATGACAGCATAATTTCCATCATTTGGAAACCTTAGATCGAACCTTGAGAGTCTAAAATATCCAGAGGCACTGAGTGGCTCAGCCGGTTGAATGTCTGACTCTTGATTTCAGTTCAGGTCACGATCTCCCAGTTGGTGAGTTCGGGCCCCAAGTTGGCCTCTNGGCACTGAGTGGCTCAGCCGGTTGAATGTCTGACTCTTGATTTCAGTTCAGGTCACGATCTCCCAGTTGGTGAGTTCGGGCCCCAGGCGGGGCTCTATGCTGACAGTGTTCTCTCTCTTTGGGATTCTCTCTCTCTCTCTCTCTCTCTCTCTCTCTCTCTCCCCCCTTCGCTCTCTCTGCCCCTCCACTGTTCTCTCTCCCTCTCAAAATAAACAAACATTCAAAAATAAATAAAATGTCAACTGTCAAATATATTATACTGAATGGGGGGGGTGAGGGGGAGGTCTGCCAATCACAAGGAAGAAGAAAGAAAGGCAGCTGGAAACACACCATGGAGGAGAAATCTTGGCAGGTTCCCAGAACCTAGAGACTGCTGGGAGAGAGAAGAGAAGCCCAAGACGCAACGTGGGATAAAAACCACGCTCACGTGTCTTCGTGACAGACTGAGATGGTACGAATGTAACATCACCCTGATTCGATGGAAACCGGTGTGATGTGTGGAAAGAGTTTTTCACCAGGCGAGAGGCAGGGGAGGCTGGAGGATTTCTGAATCCCATCTGGAGTAAGGCTGTCCTGAAATCATGGGTTGCTAACCAGGTTTTAAAAAAAGAAACAGCTTTCTTAAGCTAGAATTCACATCTCATACAGCTCGCCCTTTTAAAACGTACCATCCAGTGGTTTTTAATATATTCAAAGAGCTCTGCATCCGTCACCGCTATCAAACGTGAAAACACTGTCGCTGCCCCCAAAAGAAACCACCTAACCCCGCCTGTCAGCAGTGACTCCCGCCCCCCAATCCCTGGCCCTCGCCAACGACCGTGTTCTTCTCTCCTGAGTGACCTCTGTGGGCGTTTCACGTAGATGGAATCATAGATATGTGGCCTTTTGTGGCTGGCTTCTTTCACTTGGTATCGTGCGCTTGATTTCAGTGTTCTGCACTGTCAGCTAACGGTCCACTGTACGGACATGCCACATTATGCAATCACAGCTCTCTAGTAGTAACGCATCATCCTGCGTGAGGCCCTAGGGATCTATCTGAAGATGGAAAAGGTCTTGCTTTCAAGAAATTCGAGAAGCTTCAAGAAGCGGGACAGAGATCAAGAGAACATGCCGACAGCAGACTGCAGGAACCCATGGAGCACAGGGTTGGGAATGGAGAATGAAGAGGAGCAGAGGCCAGAGTAGGAGGGGACGAGGGGCCTGGGGCCAGCCACGTCAAGGAACCCGGACTTGAGGCTCCAGGCAAGGGAGGACCCTTCCTTCACGAAGAGCCTTCCAAACAGCACTTGTTTTTTTCTCATCTTGCACCACCTACAGAGGGAAACCCAAACCCATAAACATATACACCCACACCATCATCCCGATGAAATAAATTACTGTGCCATTCTTCCCAGTCACCTCCAGAGAGCATGCTCTGATCACCCTGGCATAAGTAAGGTTTTCCTTCATAAGCGCTTGCAGGTTCCTATACCTTTTCACGGGAGCTGTCAGGTACAAACGAGGCATGGACGCTAGCACACTGCAGTCCTCCCTGCTGCTGTGCAGCCTACTTAAGGGCAAGGGCAGTTTGAGATATCCTAAAACCCAAGCAGTGTAAGTGGTGATTAAATAAACTGGGAAAAGGGCATCGATTTCGTTAAAAGCAGGCACCTGGCACGACATGTGCACAGAACGGCCGGTCTGAGGGAAGAGGGTGGGTATGGACGTAAAAATGTGAGACACTGATGGGAGAAGCACACGGCTGACAGCACACAGACGAGAAAGGTCCCCAGCAGCCGGAAGAGGAGGAACAAACGGGGTGGGAACAACCATCAGGCCCCCGCCGTGCACCACGCAAACTGCATTATCAGCGTTCATTTCCGCAGCAACGACAAAGGAGGTATTCAGGGGCCCATTCTGCACAGCAAGAAGCACGCTTTGAGAAGGTAAGTGTACGTGACACAGGCAGGGGTGTCCCACCTGAGCCTGCCCGCCCAGGACATGCGCCTCCCACCAGGCCACACTGCCACCCTACTTCTGTAACTTGGCTTACGCCTGCACAAACACACGTCAACTGCGGTGTTTTTCTTGAGGTAAAAGTGCACAAGTATGTAGCGGACTAATTCTATTCTCAAATCTACTAAACTAGGTCATACTGTCAATAAGGTGATAAAAATGGATATGTGATCACTATGGGTCTTTAAAAAGAAATGCCCACAACAGAAGTTTCCTCATCTTGCAGCCAGCAACTAGGCATTATGCTGAAATTTATGTAAGGTTTCTTTTGGATGTGAGGAGAATGTTTCAAAATTTAATAACCTAAGTAACTTTCTTTATTTACCCCCAGGCGGAATCAAAATTTGTCCTGAAAACTAAGAGAAACATTTTAAAGATTTTTAAAAAATTTCTTTATACTATTTAATTATTTTTGAGAAAGAGAGAGACAGCATGAGCAAAGGAGGGGCAGAGAGAGAGGGAGACACAGAACTTGAAGCAGGCTCCAGGACAGAGCCTGACAGTGGGTTAGACCTCACGAACTGCGAGGTCATGATCTGAGCCGAAGTAAGACGCTTAGCCAACTGAGCCACCTGGTACCCCAAGACCTTTTTTTTCTTTAAGTTTATTTATTTATTTTGAGAGAGACAGACACAGTGTGAGTAGGGAAGGGGCAGAGAGAGAGGGAGACACAGAACTTGAAGCAGGCTCCAGGACAGAGCCTGACAGTGGGTTAGACCTCACGAACTGCGAGGTCATGATCTGAGCCGAAGTAAGACGCTTAGCCAACTGAGCCACCTGGTACCCCAAGACCTTTTTTTTCTTTAAGTTTATTTATTTATTTTGAGAGAGACAGACACAGTGTGAGTAGGGAAGGGGCAGAGAGAGAGGGAGGGGGAGAGAGAATTCCAAGCAGGCTCCACGCTGCCGGCACAGAGCCCAATGTGGGGCTTGAACCCACAAAGCTGTGAGATCTTGACCTGAGCAGAAACCAAGAGTCGGACACTTAACTGAGTGAGCCACCCAGACACCCTAAGATGAGTATTCTATTTTCTTTAAAATTTTTTAATGTTTATTTATTTTTGAGAGAGAGAAAGAGTGTGTGCGCATGAGAGCACAAGCAGGGGAGGGGCAGAGAGAGAGGGAGACACAGAATCTGAAGCCGACCAGGCTCCAAGTTGTCGGCAGAGACCGATGACAGTCTCGAACTCACGAAACATGAGCTCATGGCCTGAGCCAAAACCAAGAGTCGGATGCTAAATGGACTGAGCCACCCACGTGCCCCAACTAAGAGGAACGTTTTAAACATGGCATTAGGACTAGAAAAAAGAAAAAAGCAGAGGATAGTTTAAATTCAACATGAACTCAACTAACAGAATCTTTTTTCATAATATCTGCAAGTAGCAGGAACTATTTAGGACTTTCCTAACACCCTCTCTCTCCAGTTAATCATGAAATGTACCAGTGTTTTCCCTGTGTTTTCAATGGCAATACAATTAGTAAATGACCTACGGATTTAGTAAAGCTACAGGGGTAGGGGAGATCTGCTACGCGAATGAAAAATTACAAACAGGAAAAAAGAGAGCTGAAAACTCAAAATTCTTCCTGTTTAAACAGCAAATAAAGCCTCCGTGTTATAAAACAAACGCACAAGCATAAGCAGAGTGGGTGTTATCAACTACTCAATTAAAAGGTGCCCCCAAGTCTATGCCACTTAAAGCAAAAAAAAAAAAAAAAAGAAAGTTGCAGCAGGCAAAAGAGCTCCTCAAACAATGAATTCTTGCTTTTCAGACCTCAAATAAATAATAGCAAATATTTTTGAACAACTTTCACCAATTATAATTTCTATGTGGAAAGGCATGCTTTTTACAAAAGCAAAAATCTTTGAAATGACAGTCAAGGGAGCTATTTCTGCCTGCCTACACTTGCAAACTCACCACATGTTCAACACTTTCTGGCAGCTATACACATACACACACAAAAAAAAAATACAGGAAAAAAGAGAGAGAAAGGGAGGGAAGGAGATGGGGGGGAGGGAAATGGGGGAGGGAGAGGGGGGGATAAGAGAGAGAGAGAGAGATCATCAGAAGTAGCCCACATTGAAAACATTACATTGTTTTTCATGCTTAATTTTTTTCCAAGCAGCTTTATCATTTACATTCACAGAAAAACTATTGTGAAGCTAATATGAACACATGCAGCATACTATAAAATTGGTAATTATTCTTATACTTACAGAAAAAAAAAAGGAGCATCTACCCTATAGAAATAATTTTCATGCATCAGCACTCCTTAAAAAATGCTAAAAATTGGCTGTTAATTCTAAGTAAGAAATTGAGCACAGTTCCTAAATATTTTTGTATTATAAAATTTATTTACTGAAATAGCACTGTTTTAAACGTAGTGATTAAAATCACTTGTCGTGCATGCCCTGAAAAAGACCTCCTGGAATAATTGTATGTATGACTATAAATCTCAAACATGCATAGTTTAAGAGCAAAGAAGGAAAACAAATCCGTACTTGGTTTCATCCATCACTTCTACTTCCGTAGGGGCTGTGATGGGTGCATTTGAACGTCCCGCGGTGGGGTCATCTGTGTTTAACTCTCCATTTGTCGAACTTACAACCTGCCAAAGAGAGAAAAAAAATATATATACACATGAGGCAACAGGTTATACAATGATAAAAACTAAGGTTAAAGTATTTAAATTAGAAAGTTAATATGAAGAACACAAAACAATTAGTATGTAGTTGAGTTGTTCATAACTAAATAAAGTAATAGCTCTAATATTTTGGGAAAAATCAAGGCTATCTAATATTGGCTTTTCCAACTAACTTCCTTTTGCCTCAGATTTTTAAGGCTAACTCCTACACCCCAGTCTCCATCAGTCCCCCGAGGCGTGCCCATCTGCACAGGCACCTGGCTACAGCAGGAACTAGTCCCCTCGGGAACATCCATACAGCTCCTTCCGACAGACCTTGCACTTCCATCTGTAACCCCTGCCTGGGTCTCCCCCACATCCCACCAACTCCTTCCCCGGCTGTTCACGCCCCTGGGCCAGGAGTCACTGTGATTTTGCTTTGTGCCTGAAACCTTACATCTTATCGATCAGGGGGGCCTGTTAAATCCTTCCCCAAAACACATCCCCAAATGAGTCAGTTCCTGCCGCCTCTAGTACCACCAGGGCTGTGGTTCAAGCCACCACGATCTCTTGTGGGAATGAGAGTAACAACCTACTAACTGGTGGTCTGCTTTTTTTTTTTTTTACCTGTCCCTTCCCTCCATGAAGGTATGGTCCACACAACAACCAGAGTGCTCATTTTAAGATGGAAATTACATCATGTATAATTACCTGCTTAAACCTTCTCAAGTGTCAACTTCCCAGGTCACTTAAAGATCCATATTCTTTACCCCAATTTACAAAGCCCCACATCCGAATCCTCCCTACCCCTTGATCTCATTTACCTTTTCCTTTGTTCACTAGCCTTCATTCAGTATGTCAAATTATTCCCACCTTGAGGCTTTGGTATTATCTACTCTCAATGCCTGAACCAACTCTCTTCTTGCTTACTGGCTATTTTCCTCTTTCAGATTCTTAAAGAACATCCCTAAAGCAGGCCTTTTCTACCACATAATCTTTCTATACACACTCTGTCCTTTAGACTCTACTGTTAACTCTTTGTAGAGCATTTATCCAGACAGATGATCTTCTAATCATGTGGAATGACACCCTCTCCCACCTCCTCTCGCTCCAGAACAGCAGGAACTTTGTCTTGCTCCCTACTGTATCTACTCACTAAAAACTGGCACAGGACAAGAAGTCAATAAATGATTGTTGAAATAAATGAATGAATGCATGCAAGGATGAATGAAACCCTAAAACAAAATAGAAATCACAGCAAAATACCCATGTTCTCACCCATCCTCTTGGTCCCACAAAGGCACCTTACTATCCTAAACTTACTTGCTTTCCCTTAAACTGCTTCAAAACAATAGTCTTAACACTTTCATTTTCCATTCATTTATTTTTTAACTTCTTACAATCTGTACTCTGTCCCTATACCAGATTTCTATTAAGATCACTCTTGAAGGTTACCAATGATTCCTAGAAAAATATATCCAGCGGTCTTTGCTTGGCCCTCATTTTCCCGGACACTTCTGTATCACTTAGCATGAGCTGGCATTCTAGAATAAGATGGGTCTAGAAACAAAAGTTAGCTCTAACAGCTATGTGACCCGGAAAAGATACGTCATCTTGCTAAACCTCAATGTTCCCAACTACAAAATGGGAAACAGGAATGTCTATTTAACAAGACTGTCATGAGGATGAAAAGGAATCAATGTGTAAACCACAGTACCAGGCATATATCAGGAGCCCCATAAATGGGGGCCATCACTACTCTGCCAGTTTCGCCTGCATCCATGGCTTCAGCTACAACCTCTATGGAAAGTACTTGCCGAGCCAACCACTGACCCACACGTTCACTCAGACCAAGTTCGGTACCTCAAACTCAGTATTTCCAAAATCGAACCTCTCATACCTCTTCTTCAATGTGCTTCTCTTCCTTTATCTATGGTTCCAATTTCCAGGGGTCCCTACTGTATTTCCAGACCTCCAGGCTCAAAATCAAGAACCATCTCAGCAGTTCTCCCATCTGACCTCATCATGAGAAAAACAGTGTAAACGTACCAAACGTATCAAATGTGTCACCACGGTGACAGCGGAATACCGGGTCCATTTACAGAGCCCCATTTTACTGAAACTTCACTAGTTCACATATTCTTAACAAGAGGTTATGACATGCCAAGTAAAGTAACTCTACGCCAACTGCAAATCGAGAAAAATGCAGGAATCATGGAGGCTGAGGTGCCTCCATGGAGGCAAGTGGACCAAGTACCTAGAAATGAACCTACACCTGTGCCCACTGCCGAGAACAGACAAAAACAACCTTGGTCATCTGCAGAGACAACCAACCCAAGGAGAGGAACTCTCTTGTGTCTAAGTCGGCCTCTGTTGAGACACCGGCTCCCTCCTTCCTGGCCTTCTACTGAGTTCCATGGCAATTTTTCCTCTTTATTTCTCCCTCTTTCTGAAAACACGGAACAGTCAATATTTGTTCTAGTTATCAAACATAATTTGGCTCTTTATTCTTAATTTTTACAACACCAGAGCTCCTATGCTGAATTACAAAGGAGCTGGAAAGCAAGATTCTTATCTTACACTCTTGTCGTCGCCACTATCTGTAATGTGCAGGATGCTTTGCATGCAGAAGATAAACTGTTCACTGAACAATTTCCACTGCTCTTCTCTCAACGGAGTATTCACAGGTGTCTCTTCCTTCTCTGTGCGCCATGGCCCTAGATAGCTGGAGGGATCCCCTCTCCATCTCTAGGCAGCTCTTCAAACATGCCTTTCCTTACTTTAAGGGACATAACTGAAAATCTTACATCTCAGGTAGTCTAAGTTTCCAGCAAGAGCAACTGTATGAACATGCAGTAAGTTCATATAATCCGACTTATTTCAGTTCGCACAAAGTCATACCTGACATTAATAAGCTTTATTCTAGTGAAATGTTTTCAACCTCATTCCACCCAGCTGACAGAACCAGACCAGAAGGAAATAACATCTTCCATTATGTACTTCTTTAATGTAATTTTTCTTTGCTTTCCCAGATTCCCCAATTCTCTAAGTAAGGGCTAATATTCCAGGCTAAGAATAGAATCAACATGGTAACAGAGTTCTCCTATAAAAGCGGCCTACTTAATACTGGTGACATGAGAATATATCAAGGTATTAAAACTTTTCTCTTAAGAAAACTATGGTCTTTTTGCAAAGGGGGATTTTACAAAAACAAAAAACAAAAAACAACAGCAAAAAACCCCCAAAGATATAGTACTATGAATAGCATGTCATTATATTCCTGGAGACCTAAATCAAGGAAACAAATGTTCACAAATTATTTTCATAAACCAAATTCTAAAGAATGATCCCATTTATGCGACATTTCTAGAATTATAACTTGAACTAGAACATACAAGTCCATGAAATATTAGCATCCAATGGCTGATTTTTGTAACAAAAGTTTAACTAAAATGACAGCTGCTTTCAAGTCTGAAATTTTAAAAAAATAATTCAGGTGTTTCACAGGGTGTTTTGTTCTTGCTGTTCTTAAAGAAATGTTCTCTGATATCCCCATGGTGATAAGGAACTCAGTATAATTTTTATTTTAAGAGGTTACAGAAAAATAAAATAAATAAAAAGGCAGCCAGATGCAGCATTACTATTAGTGTATCAAAGTTTAAGGGGGCAGAGGAATGTGGAAACAGCCTGAAGCTAAGTGTGGGAGATAAGTGATGGTCCACTTAAGGGCTGCCCACCATACTGATTCCAAAAGAAGTCATTCTCATAGACTTTTGAGTACAAAGATAACACACGGTATCTTTGTCATCAATGACTTTAGAAGGCCAATTAAGTTACTTTCCAAATCCAATGACTTCATACAAATGAGTTGTACCACCATCTTCCTAATTGCTATCTGAGTTATGGTAAGCCCACTACCAGATCTCCATCTAGCCAATAAATATATTAGAAATATTGAAACATTATATACCTCACTTATGCCCTAAGTTTTTTCTAAAAGTAATCTATAAGAAAGCACATTAAGAAATGAAGACATAGTTAAGAGTAATTTCCAAAGACATCACTGGATCTGGGCCAGGTTCACACTTACCACACGAAACCCATGTTCATACGTATTCTAAAGCCTAGAGTGACAATTCTAACTGATGTTCCTGATATTCCATCTGAAAACCCGAAGGCACAGTGACATTCTCACGGACTTTAAACAAGATGCACCAGAATGATTTCCAGTCTCACTTCTGCTTACGCACAAACTAAGCAGAGCCCTATACTCTTTGAGTACTCCAGGCTCTAGGGATGTTACTGGAAATGTTACTGTAGCAGACCCTGAACGTAAGCCTGTAATGCTGATCTATCCTGTGACACTGGGACAAAGGATCTCCTGAGCTGGACGAAGTTGCTGAGCAGGAATGACAGATCTCCCGAAGGCTCACAACTACTCTCCCTGCACAACCTCCCCATAGCAGATTTCAGTGCCCTGGAAAACAGAACAGAAAGATACGAGTGTACTGGTCACTCATTCCTCCCTGTTGTCAGGACCTCTGTATTTTCAAAGACTCAATGGAGAAATCGAAAACTGGTTATTTGCAATGTTTTAGAAAGAGGAGTACTCAGGACGGACACAAGGGAGGACCGGCTGAAATGTGGCACCGACTACTCTGGCTGGGAACCGTGCACGTTACCGTGTGTCTTTCCTGTTCTCATCACCTGCATTTGCATTTCTCAACTCACAGTGACCAGAATATCAGCGTCCAGGAAGACAATGTTATGCATTCGCGCCCATCACCAGATCTGGGGGCACAACACAGGAGCACGGTTTGCGGTTCTGGACTTTCCCCCTGGGCTGGGGGTGGGGGGTGCACGGTGTTCCTTAACTGCAACCCAAGGCTGTACAACCACCGGGAGCTGCACCATCTCACGTAGTTTGCCAGTAGCACCCTCAACGGTAGTCTTCCTCCCTCTGCCGGGAAAGCACCTGTCCACTC